GCAAAATTGAGCCCCAGCCGGAAGAGGGCACCTGCCCAGAGCCATGTGAAACGGCAGCAAGGTTTTACCACTCCTGTCTACTCCTGTGGGCCCAGTAGAGGCCAACGCTGGAGGAACGTGAAGGGCAACAACAAAGGCAGGGTAATGGCCAGCAGGGCTGCCCACTGGCCCTCCCATGACACCAACCCCGACTCCAAGTCTTTACATGAGTTCAGTAAGGTCCAGCCCGCAAGGATGAATGTTTCCCACAAGGGAAGAGGCCAGGCCAGGTTCAGCTGCCCCAGGGAACCAGGAGATGTGGCCAGATACTCGAATATCCGTGCCCAGGCGAGTGTCCCTCACTTACAGGGCACTCCGATGACTTTTGCTTCCCGAAGACTTGCCTCAAATACGGGAAAACAGCCGTCAAGAGAGCTGGATGTGTCTTCCTCTAAAAAAATGCAAAATAAGGCCTGGGCCAAGGGAGAGGGCAGGCCCAGCCGCCCAGGAGCAGGTACTGTTGCAGGAAGCGTTTCCAAGGCCACAACTTCGAAGGAGGAGACCCAAGAGAAGAAATCTCAGGGTGGTGGCTCAAGAGTTATCCTGGGGAGAGCTTTCCCTTTATGGGGGTAGAATGTCAGAGATGCTCCCCTTGAACCAGCCGCGTTCCCACAAATCATGGGTATTCAGATACTTGGGAAGTCCAAGACGTTTTCTTTGCTGCCCTCGGGATCCAAGCAAGGGGCTACTGGAAAAAGATCCCCAGCCAAGAAAGTAAGAGAGCCCCAGCCTGTGGCTGGAGAAGATAAAGGCCCAAATAGTGATTCTGCCCTACAGACCAAACTTTCAACACACAAGCCAGGACCACATTCCCTGAGCATGCATCGCAGAGAATTCATCCACGTTGAAGCTGACACCAGAGCTCCCGAAGCTCCAGCAGCCTCCCAGCCCTTGACTGCGAGCCAAGGAGGCCTCCCACCCAGAAGCTCTACACTCACTGGTGACCAGGAACCAACTGTGCAGGCTCCAACTCTGGAAAGGCAGCAGCCACCCCCTGGAGCACAGGGATGTCCCCAGTGCCTTGTGCTCCAGAAAGAAATAGATGACCTCAAAGAGCAACCAGCGGTCCTGCAGTCCCTCGCTGATAAGTTCCAGACCCTTTAAAATGGAAACCAGCATCTTCACCGAAGACTGACAGCCAATACCTGTGGAATCCCGGAGCTGAAGTCAAGCTCTCTCCCTCCCCTTCTTCATCCAGGGCCTCCTTTCTGCCCCACTTTTGCCCCTTGCTCACCCCAGTTGACAACGTCAAATTAAAGTACCTCTCATGTTTAAAAAAAAAAAAAAAAACCCAGAGAGCAATTAGCATTGTTTTAAAGATTTAAGCTATTAGTTATATATGTATGTATGAAAGTATTCACACATATATAATATTTACATGTATCTATATAGTCCACGTTCTATATGTATTCTGCAACCATGGATTGAAACAACTGGATTGAAAATATTTGAGAAGAAAAAAATCGTATCTACTGAATACATACAGACTTTTTCTTGTCCTTATTCCCTAAAAAGTGCAACAAATATTTATAATGTAGTTACTGTAAATAAAAGATAATTTGAAGTATATGGGAAGATGCCAGTCAAATGCAAACACTACTCCATTTTATGTAAGGGAGTACAGAGTCTGTATTTTTTTTTTTTTTTTTTTTTTGAGGCAGGGTCTTGCTGTATAATTCTGTAGTTCAGGCTGACCTTGAACTCAGTGTGTTCCCCAAGCTGGTCTTGAACTCGATCTTCTTGCCTCAGCCTCCTGAGTGTTGGAACTACAGGCGTGCACCACCATGCCCAGTGTTCTTTTCTTTTCTTTTTTCTTTATTTGTATTTTAGTACAGGGTCTCACTTTGTAGATCGGACTCGTAGTGATCCGCCTGTGTTCAGCCTCCCAAGAGCTGGGATTACAGGTGTGCACCACCAGCCCAGTCTCAATCATTGTCTAAGCAAGGCATATGGGTGGTTGAACCCCGGCCGCTATGCTCTGACTAAGCAGGCGCTTTAATCGCTGAGCTATGGCTGGCCCTAAAACAGATCTATTTACATATCAATGTATTATACACGCCACATATTTAAAATGTATTTAATAATATGTACACCCATGAAGTTATGCACACCTATGAAATTGTTTCTTTTGAAGTTTATAAAATTGAAATACTCTATATACTCTTTGCTTTTGCTTTTTTTTTTTAATGGTTAGTGTTAATGTCACAAGACTCATTTATTGTAAAGATAGTTTACTCTCATTTTTTTTTTTTTGGTACTAGATATCGAACTCGACCATACGCTTGCCAGGCAGGCACTTATGTCACTGAACTATCTCACTGGTCCTTATTTTTGATTTTTTGAGATGGGGCTTCACTGTACAGTTCGGGCTGGCTTTAAGCTCGCTTGGTAATGCAGGCTGGTCTTGAACTTGCACAAACCTCCTGCCTCTGCCTCCCAAGTGGTAGCACTCTAGTTGTACACCACCACACCTAGCTATTCTCATTCTTGTATTCTTGAATATAGCTCAGTGTATCCACTTCAATATATATATTTGTGCTGTGCCCAGTTTGAAGCTGTTACGAATAATGCTGTTTCAATGTTGTATGCATTTTTTTTTTTGCTGAATATATGTACCAAAGAAAGGACTTGCTAGTTTTTTTTTTTTTTTTTAATTTTATTTATTCATTTGTGTGTGTGTGTGTGTGTGCATGCGTGTGCACGTGCGCGCGCGGCCAGCTCAGCCCACCAGGGGGTGGGGGCTGGCTGGCATGTGGTGCTGGGGGATTGAACCGCGGTCCCTGTGCTTTGCACAGCTTGTTCTAAGTAGGTGCTTTAGACCACTGAGCCATCTTACCAGCCCAGAGATAGACAATGGTTTTATTTATTTATTTTTTTTGGCGGAACCGGGGATTCAACTCAGATCTTTCCGTGTGCCAGTCAAGCGCTTATCCTACTGAGCCATCTCCCCGACCCCTAACTTGCTAGTTTAGAGCAAATGAATTTTGTTCAATCTAAATGAAACAGAGATATGGGCAAAGAGATTACCAAACTGGTTGTGCCAGTTGATTATCCTGTCAGGTGTGTCTGCAGTTGTCAGTTGCAGTACCTTCTTGCCTGTTCTTGGTAGTGTTTGTCTTCCTCATTTGGGTATGTGTGTATAGTGATGAGTTATTTAATGAAGATGGAGAAGATGTTTCTTCATAATAAATTGACCATGTAGGACTATAAAAATGTGATTAGTAGTTAATGAGGTCATAATGAAGCTTTGATAGTTTTAAGTTTACATAATAACTTGTTCAGAATGAAGGTATTAATAAAACAAAACTTAATTTAGAGGTTATACCATGCTTTTGAATTGTCACAGAAATGGTGATTACAAAATTGTTCTGTGGATGCTAGATTTTAAAAAAAGATAGTATAATAACCACTAAAATTCAGAAAGCTTATGTAGATCCATGAAAGCATACATGTGACAACCAAAACGAAGATATTATTAGCTATTATTTCTCATACTGGATTTATTTCTCAAGATTTTTCCTTTGGCTTTCTTAGCAGTTCTAAAATTTTGAGAGGTGTGATACAATGGAAAGATGTGAACCAAGTTTTGAGACTATTATTATTATTAATAATATTATTTTTATTTTAGGGAAGGCTCTGCAAGGTGTTCAGGGTCTCACTACTGATCGGACTCATAGTGATTCTCCTGTTTACAGCCTCCCAAGAACTGGGATTATAGGCGTGTGCCACCATGCCCAGTCTCAACTGCTGTCTCAGCGCGCCCCGGGGAAAGGGCCGGCACGGCAGTCCCAGGGATTGAACCCCTGGTCCCTGCACCTGCTTGCAGACCCTTTAATCCGAGGAGTGTAATTCTTTCTTTCTTTTTTTATTTTTCCTTTTTTTTTTTTTTTTTTTGGCGGAACTGGGGAGTGAACTCAGGCCCTTGTGCTTGACAGGGAAGTGCTTATTCCACTGAGCTATCTCCCCGGCCCCAGGAGTGTAATTATTTCTAACAAAAATGTATTTTCCAAAAATAATTTTGATTATTTTGCTCACACATTTTCTTTCCCTTTTTTTAAAAAAAAAAAAATTAGTGGTAAATGATATTTTGTCCCATTAGAAAAATAAAATGGGAAATAGTGACCCTTTCATTATGTGTTTAGTTCCAGCGATCTATTTGATGCAGCAGTTTTTTCTTTTCTTTTTGTCTTTAGATATCAACAAATTTCTTTGGATGGTCCGGATTGGAGGGAGCACAGACACAGGAAAACATATCAAGGAGAATGACTATTATACTCCCACTGGGGAGTTCCGTGTGGACCGTGAGGGTTCTCCAGTGTTGCTCAACTGCCTCATGTATAAGATGTGCTACTACCGCTTTGGGCAGGTCTACACAGAAGCCAGTGAGTGGTTCTCACCACTAATAACACAGACATAATGGTGATGGCTGAGATGTACTGTGCCTTTGAAGCACTTCCCTAAGTACTTTAGATTTGTTGACTTATTTAATCTATACAGTGACCCACAAGTAGATACTGTATTGGTGTTTTATAGATGAGGAAGCTGAGGTATCAGTAGGTCATTGAATTCCCCTACATTGCATGACTAATGAGTGAGTGGGGGTTCAAGCTGAGGCAGTTTGGCTTCAGATTCTGTGCTTTTAAATATTCGTTTTTTCATTTTTAAATTTTTTCTTCTTTGCACTGAGCCATACCCCTAGCTCTTTTAAAAACTCATTTGAGACAAGGTCTTATAAATTGGCTTGATGCCCAAGCTGGGCTTGAACTTGCAGTCTTCCTGCCTCAGCCTCTCAGAGTGCAGGATTAAAGACATGTGCCACCATGTCTGGCTTAAATATTCATCTTCATCTTTTGTTTCTCAGAGAAGAGGATTACAGTGAAGAAAAGAACAAAAGAGACAAAGTATTTCATTTTCTTCATATGGATACATTGAGAGGGATTTGATCAGTGTCTTTTCTTTAGGCTTCAATTTTATGACTCTGTCTGTGTAGTTGGGGCCGTTTGTGATGTGGATGCACGTGGTGGGCCTCCTGCCCAGGTGCCACGTGTGGGGAGCAAGCCCACTACGCCAAGCTTTCCCCACCCAGGGGCCCTTACAGGGACCTAGTTCTGCTACTTGACTCAAGGATGAACGAGGATGTGTGATAAAAAGGTTAGCGTATGAGCAGAAGCCTCCCAAGCGGCTGGCTTATCTGCTTTATTCTCTCAAACCGGGTATGAACAAGGAAAGTAATACAAGATTCATTTGCCTTTCATTTTTCATTAATACATTCTCAGGTAATCCACTTGATTTCAGCTGTAGTAACTTTTCCTTAGATCACACAACATGCTGTCATCTCTGTTTTGTTTTTTTCCTTTGCGCTCATAAAGGAGGCCAACTAGGCCTTAGTTCTCTGGCTTTCCACAGATGTGGGCCCTTGGTGGCTTCTCTGATGCATGGGAGGTTTCTGGATGATTACAGTGCCTCTGGATGACAGGTGTTTGGAAGTCAGCCCTTATGAGAAGAGATAAGCTCCACAGACTCTGCCAAGTATTTTGGACAGGACTTGGGTTAGGGTAAAATTTACTATCTGATGTATGCGTCTTCAGACTCAACTCTCTATTACCTTGCAAGAGGAATAACAATGTGAGAAGTAGATGGTGTTGCATGTTGACTTAGTGTCTCTTAACATTGTAGAAAGAAATGTTCTTTTTTTGTTCATTCCTAGAGCGTCCACCAGGCTTTGACCGTGTCCGAAATGCTGAGATTGGGAATAAAGACTTTGAGCTTGATGTCCTAGAGGAAGCATACACTACAGAACACTGGTTGGTCAGGATATATAAGGTGAGCAGGTTTTATACTGTCTCAAGAAAAACCTTTTGTGTTTTCAGATGGATCCCAGTGCTTAAAAATTGGCTATATTTTTCAAACAGGAACAATTCTAATAACTCCTGTACCTGAAAAGTAATTAGTAGCTCAGACAACATTTTACTAGTTTAATTTTAGACTGTCCTTTAAAAAGGGGCCAGTGAGATAATCGTGTGGAGGACCACCCGAGCAGCTCTCCTTGAAAGAAGGGCGATTGTCTCCATTTTGACTGAGCCTGACCCTATTTCCTCGTATTGTTATGTACAGAGCTGGCTAGGACTTCTGTTTATCCTTCAATTGGCCTTAAGCAATGTCTATTGGTCTAGCTGAGGTGCTGGTGATAGTCTTTGAAGGTGGCCTGCATGTTTCCCTGGTAACCTATACCTGCTGCTCTTTAATGTGAGCCTGGTGGAGACAGGATGGTAGAGCTAATGCTCCGCGGCGCCAGCTGGGTTTGAGTCTCCACACAGAGGCCATGACTTCCTGGGGCTTGAAAGACTACATCAAAGCTGAAGCACCAGGACTTAACCAAAACATTAGATACTATATAATGCAGATTACTGTCTCTGCATGTCCTCTCTGCATATCGCAGAGGTAAATTTAGGCCACCCACCTAGCTCAGCTCATAGTAGTCTCTTTCCCACAGTTCTCAGTCAATCCTCAAGCCACTCCACTATTGAATAAAACTGGGTGAGGCCCTGGGTCGCGCTCTTGGTTCCAGAAAGCCATCTTCATGGCTGGACTTAGAGCCCCTTGACTCTCCGATGATTGAAGATATAATTTAGTATCTTTATTTTCGCTGTGGGTTGCATTGTAAGTGGTAGATTGGAATCAATTTGATGGGATTCCAATAACGTAACTTTGGGATTACAAATATTGGCTTCTTGGACCGAGATGAGGACCTGGAAGTGTCTCCTACAATATTGGACTAAGTGTTTGCTTAGGCAAGTGCAGGGACCTGGGTTTGATCCCCAGCACCACACACCATGCTGGCCCTGCCCCCGGATGCGCTGAGCTGGCCACCAAGTCCAGGCATGGTGTTCCATGCCTGTGATCCCAGTGCTGTGGGGGCTGAAAGCAGGAGGATCACTATGAGTCTGATCTGCCAACTACATTTAAAGAAAACAAAAAACTCATGGTTAGCTGTCATCTTGTTGCTAGTAGTGGTGTGATTCAACATGTTGCATTGATTATGAGGCTTGAGGGTAAAAAAAGAAAGTTTGCGTCTGTATTTCTGTACTACATTTTCTTCTATTTAAAAATTTATGGCAAGGAGCCGGGGAGATGGCTCAGTAGAATAAGCTCTTCCCTGGCAAGCGCAAGGGCCTGAGTTCCATCCCAGGTTCTGCCAAAAAAAATAAATAAGACAACAAACCAAATTAAAAAAAAAAAAAAATCAGATCTGTGGTTCCTAGGGACTGGGAGAAAAAAAAAAAAAAAAAAAAAAAATTATGGCTGAATCACATGGTATCACATCCTGGTGTGTTGCCTCTTAGGAAAAGGTTTCACCCACATGAAAGGTAGAGTGTTTACACTGCTTCTCATGGGAGATTGTACAAAGCAGAGCAGTTGGTTCAAATGCGTGCTCGTTTAATCACAGTGCCACACTGGTGGCAGGGCCCAAATATTCCCTTCTACTCTTGTGAACCCATTTTAGTGAAAAAGCTCTCCAAAGTTGACCTGATTGTAAATACTAACTGGCATTTTTATGCTGCAGGTAAAGGACCTGGATAATCGAGGCTTGTCAAGAACATAAATGCTGCATTCAGCTCCGATATGCTTCGCACTGAGCGCGTCATATTTAGGACGTTGGAGATTTTTTTTTTTTTAACTATGAAGTTTATAAGAACAGAGCCGGATGGGATTAAAATTGTCTGGAAGTTTTGCCCTGGACTGTATGGGCTGGGCCAAATGGAATGATTTTTATAATTCTGAGCAGGTTACCAAATGAAATGTCATGGCTTTACTTTGGTTAATTAAAGGGGGGAATTTTTAAAAAATGTGCCTTATTTGTTTTGACTTATAGCTGATTTGAGGAAAGTAAGTTTGTGCTGGACTGGTAGGACAAGAGCAGACCTTCTCTAGGCTCTTAGGTCTGTAAATGGGCCATAGAGGGCATTCTTTCTCATATCAGGAAAATTGTCAGGGTTTAGCTCTGAGTCTACATATATAAACACTTTGTCATACTTCTGTATCATAGCACCTAGTGAATGCCTTGCACATAGTGGGTGCTCAATAAATTTTTATCTAATGAAATAAATGTTTGTGGGACCAGAGGAGTGTATTTCTGGGCAGGAAAAAACGTGATTTCCCTGTTATTTTGTTTCTGTTCTCAGTGTCTTATCCTTAGAGGCTCTTTAAATTTATAAGGAATGGAAAAGTTGTGAGCTACACCTGAACCTGATCTCAATAGTACTCTTTGGGAATAGAGAGGTTCCCCCTTCCCCGCCCTTGTTTTTTAAAGAGCAGGAGTAACATTGGGATGCTAAGGCAGGAAGATCACAAGTTAAGTGCAGCCTGGGCAATTATTAAGACCTTGTCTCAAAAAAAAGGCTAAAAATGCAGCTCAGTGCAAAGGCTCTGAGTTCAATCCTCAGTACCACCAATACTAAGCAAACAAAACCATAAAACAAATAAATCAAGTGTCACTAAATCAGCAGTTTTCAAGACCCAGAACAGTGAAATTATTGTTAGAAATGTAGAAGAAATTCCAACATATAGTGTTTGGTCAGATATTTATGACTCTGTAAATATAATTATACACATCTACTTGAAAGGTAGCTTTTCAGTGTTCTCAAACTGTGATACATGGGATGGCTTTATGCTCATTTCTCTTAGAATATGCACTAAGACTACAATTATTCAAAGATGAGATTCTTTTTGCTTTATCAATCTACTTTTTTTAAAAATCTTTTTTGAGTCAGGCTGTCATTATGCAGTGCAGGCTGGCCTTCACCTTACTGTGTAGTACAGGCTAGCCTCAAACTTGTGGCGATCCTCCTGAGTGCTGAATGCTGTCATTACAGTCGTGCACCACCATGCCCCGCCCCGCCCGCCTGGCGCTGTTTTCACACTCCACTTGAAGCTGAGTTGCTTGGCCCTGAAGCCCTTGCCACAGAAGAGACAATCAGAAGAAGCACTGCCATTGGCAGATACCTGGAGAGCTCTGCCAACTGAGTGCAAGAA